CCCCCCCCCACCTGGTGCAGTCAATTGTTAACTTTCATCCCTGTAGGGATTTCCTGTAGGGGTTAAAGTTTGTAATGTTTCTACTGAAAATAAAAAAAAAAAAATGAACTGATCTTGAATCTCTGTCATCATGTACATATCTCAAAATGATGCACTTCATGTCTGAAAAGAACAAATATCTTTGCAAAAGCAACCATAAACTGGATAGAAGATCAACTTTTGGAGGTGAGTGAAACTCCTGTACCATTTCAAGAGCATCTCCAGATCACAGAAGCATATTCTTAATACAGAATAAATCTTAACCTTTTAGTAACAAAAAATCTTTGCTATTTATGGTATGTTTCTTGTCTTTCAGTTTTAAAACCTCAGACAGGCAAATCAAGGTTTTATTCAGAATTAAATATGAAATTGATATAAACAGTAAATGGTTTTTTGCCTTTTCCCATCATTTGAGATGTTAGTTCATTTTCATTTTTGCTTCTCAAAATTAGGATTGTATCATTCTAGGTGCTTATTTTTGTCAGTCTCTCAGTCTAGTGCAGAGTGATTGACTAAATGTTATACACTCTTTAAGCAGATTGAAGCTAATGAAACAAATTTCTGCCCCCTATTGATCTATCCAGTGAAACACTGCTGAAGGGCTGAGAAACTATTGCTTACTTCTTTCCATCTGATTTAAGTTCCCATGTTAGATTAATGTTGCTCAGATTAGGACACCCCATCCATAAGCCTCCTGAATAATCTCCACTGAGAACCTGAGCTTTCAACAGCCACCCATGGTACATATGCATGGTCTTTGGACTGCCTCAACACATGACCATCTGTCATCATTGCATGGTGCCTCTCCACAACTGGGTCGGACCCTTGCCTGAGGGCATTAGGTTCCAGACAATGCTGGTTTAGATGAGCAGTTTGGTTAACACTACAAGGGCCATCTGTTCTACAGGAAATCCTTTCTCTGTGTCATTAATGAAGTATTTGCAGCACATAACTATATATTTGTCTACTTGTGTAAGCTTTTAGGTAACAGGAATTGTGAGGGCATGTTGTTTGCAACTGAACAAAGTAGTCTTCAAAAATTCCAACCTTTGTTACATATATCATGTTTACCTGTTACAGGTTAGTAGAGATGAAAATCAATTACATATTTAGCAGTGGAAGTGGTTAATTAGCTATGGTTTCAGCAGGGTTATAACACCTCAGAACCTCAGGCAATCTAAAAGAACTGAACATTAATCTAAACCTTGCTTAAAAAGTCCACTGTCTTCTGAAGAACAAAATATGAATCTGATCAAAGGATTCAAAAATTTAACTTTGGCAGGGAAGTGCTGCTCTTCTGTAGCATATTAACTTGTTGATTATAGGAACCATATTACGGGGAAGACATTTCATGTATTTCTGCCTGTAATAAAAAAATTAATTTCCAGAAAATGAAGCATAGCCAGAATCTAATAACTTAAGTTTAACATGCCTACTATGCTTTCCATCCACTGTTCAAATAGACTTGGCTTTCAGATACTGGAATTGCAACTTGCTAAGTAGGAAGAAAGACAGCTGGGAAAGAGCACTTTGCAGTCATTATTTTGATAGAATATCCCCTTCCTCCAAGTCTCATTTTTGTCTTAGAAGGTGAAAGGTGAAATTCAGTGTACCCTACTTAGAACGAAAAATATTACATTACAGAGAGAAATTCACCTTGGGAAGACTGCTAATTGCCTGAAGGTTTCCAAATGTGATCATTGTGGGCTGAACACCCATGAAGGCCCAGAGATGGATGAAAATGCAGTGGATGTATAGGCTTCACTTTCTACATAATGCAGGTGAGTGTTATATCAGACATAGTGACCTGACTGGGAATCTTCTCTATTGAGGAGCTTCAGAAGTACAATTTCTCTTTTTTTTTCTCATAAGTTCTGAAATTACAACTACTTGAGAAATTAAGAAAAATCTAGGCTGAAATTACTGATTATAGGGTGTACTACAGCCTCCTTCTAGTCTACTTAAGCTCAAAAAAATTCAGAAAACTTGAGTGAACCTCAGTACTGTTTTGAAATCTGAAACACAGATTTTAACACCAGTATTTTTTTTTTTCCCCCGATAACTATGATTACAGGATTTTATAGTAATAATGAGTATGTATAAAATCAAAATACAGAGAAAGAAAACCATTTAGTCTGTATTAAATACCTCAAGTTAAGGGGCAAATTGAGGGAAGCTAGAGAATAAAATGGAACCAAGAAATAGAACTGAAAGTAGTGAAGCTGTGAAACAGATTTCAGGAGAACTATGGCAAGACTTCGATACTTTTTCTGTTCTACTCCTATACTGTTCTCATTATTAAGTTTCGTGAACATGAATGATTTGCTCTAAATGGAAAAAATATTAAAAAAAATACTTTAGATCTGTTTGATGAAAGTAGTAGAATAATGTATTTTTTCCATCTCCAAACCACTGTTTCCCTAGTAGACTTATATCCATCTCCTCTTTGCTCAGTAGTACATTATGCAGTCAGCTATCACAGAAGCAGTATAAGCTGATATCCTATTATTTTCAATGTCTTAATCTATAACAAAATGGATTTTCTTATGTAAATAAAATC